CACCCACACCCACACCCACACACCCACACCCACACCCACACCCACCCACACCCACACCCACACCCACACCCATATCCTTTGTACTTTTTTCATTATACTTTCAAGCACTAGTGAATAGTAAAGTTATTTGTTCTTACGCTATTGTTGCTATTTATCGGTTTATTTCAATTATTTACTTTCGTAAACGTTTTTCTAAGCAGGGTGTGGGTATGTGTGTGGGGAAAGAGAATATCAATACTCACGCCCACACACGCCCCAACACACTTTAGTCTTTGATATGTGAAACAATAAAAAGTCTGTTAATTTTTCTTTACGATGGCCTTGATTAAATTAAACACATATTTGATTGTGGATCAAAAAAACGATAGTTGTTGCGTATGTCATAAGTATAATAATAAGATCTCTCGTGAATTTACTGTTTCTGTAAATTCTGATAAGTTTTTAGATTAGCACGAAAATGAATAGATCCTATATCTGAGTTGAAGAAGATTTTTCCTAAACTTGTAATCTATGACATTATCCTTATATCTGTTGTCAAGTCTCCGACTCATCGAACAACATAACTTCGGACATTCGATCTGAGTCTCTTCCAATGATCATCGGACAGATTATTGTAAGGAGTACTGTTATAGATATTCAATTACAAACTAAAGAATGTCAAGTGTGTTAAATTCTTACGCTATGAAATCGAAATTGAAAAAAGACGACCAATTGCCCGATATTTTCTCATTACACCCAAAACGTCATGACTTATGATGAAAACACTATTTTGGATTTGAGTGGACTTCTTCTTTACATTTAAATCCAACTACTCTGAATGAATTTAAGCATGAGAATAAATCGAGACAATCTGAATTGAGAATTCGAGATAAAGTTTGAGATATTCTATTACCTTATTCTTTGCTATTGTTGACAAGTTAAATCTCGAAGAGTAGTAGCGCATCTTTTATTATTGAAGCGCATTTTTTGAAGAGTTTTTCGAGACATTAAACTCTTTCAAACAAAAAAAAAATTAAGTATATACAATCAAAATCTTTAGAGAATTTCGGGTTGCTAAATAGGCTATTTTCAATCCTTCTTAATTGAACATCGTCCAAAAATATCATTATATAGAACTAGTATAAATTTCATGCGATTTGGATGTTCTTGGGTCAAGATTGTTTTTTGAGAGAAATATGTAGATATCATCATGATATGTGTCTGGCTTGGACAATTCCGTTTGATATGATACAATTTTTTTATTGAACTCCGAGCATTCTGCTGCACATTTTTGATGAAACCTTATCAATTATATTTAGTTATTGGAAATAAAAAGAGCAAAATAGTTAAGAAAATCGCATCTTGTTGCGTGTATTTTTTTAAGATGTAATATTGTTATTCTTCTTGTTGGTGTTCTTTTGTGTTCCATTTCTCATAGCATTTATCTAATCGACGTCGTTCAGTAAATCGAAATGGAAATTTCACATCTGTATATTTTTGAAACATATATTCAGGATGACTAAAGATAGAAAACAAAAAAGCATCAAAGATAGAGTATAAAAAACAAAAAAAAGTAATTTCATAACTTACCCATCATGCAATTCGTAGAAATGTCTCTGAGTTGATAATGATTTATTAGAACATTTCTCATGATAAATATATTGGCAACCCAATGTCGATGGATATCTAGGTGTACTGCTACCACAACAGTCGTATGATGAACAACTATGGCCATAACCACTATATATCTACGAGAAAAAGTTCAAAAAAATACACAAATTACAGGTAAAAGAATCAATTATTTCAAAATGAAAAATAACATTCTCAAATAATTGATTGTTCTAGTTTAGATAATATTCTTATTATAGAAAATTAGACTCTTACTCCTGGATGGTAAAGACATAACTTTTCTTTTTCATTTTTTAATTGATTATAATATAAGCCACATCGTTGACAGAATTCCATAAATGGTAAGTCATCTTCAGTTGGGAATGTTATTGCATATTTTGACCGAAAACGATTATAAATAAAAATTCGCTCTAAATTTTGTTTATGTTCTTCAGTGTTAAATAGATGACAGGCACTTTCTATGTCAAGGTTGCCACATTGATAAAATTCAATATACCGAAGTTTTCCACAGGATATAGCTATATTTCGAACGCCGACAATTGATAAAAGATTACCTTCAAAACTAATTTCTTCAATCGAAGGAAATAATAAAGCAGTGAGACGTAATGATTCATCAGTATGAATAAAGTTTTTGAACAGAACCTATAAAATGAAGAAATCAAATCATACTCAGTTAGATCTATAGTTAACTGAAGATATCTAAGATAACTAATAGTTTTTTGATCGAATTCCTTTCCTTACGTATCATTACATACTTTCAGGGATTTGTACAAAAAATTTTAGGAAAATTTCTTTTATTTTTAATTGTTGCCATACTTTTTTGACCAATGCAAATCGCTTGATACTCTGTTTGGACGATGCCATTTTCTCTAAAACTTTATCCAAAGCCTGCGGATCATCCGATGGTTGAACCATTGACCATAATTTTGCCTCAATCACATCCTCAAGAACATTATGTTCACCAACATAATTATCCATGCAACCAACATAAGGCAATTCAATCACCTTTGGCCACAATTGCACATCTGTATAAATACGCTCTTTCCAGAAATAACACGTTTCAGCTAAATGAATAAGACTTTTCAAGTCTAAATAGTTCAATATTATTGGAATTACGTCAATAAATGGTCCTGAATCCATAATAAATGCAGCTGAAATAGCAAAATAATGATCTATACCATCAGTAATTCGTTCATTAATCATACACAGTTACCTGATTCTTCTATGATTGACGCCATTACTTTGCTTTTATTACTTACTGACTATTCTGACTGAAGCTGTAAATATTATGTCATAAACATGTGCACATGTACTTACCGATAATAATGAAATGTTTTTTTTTTCCTTTTCTGTCATTTTTCGCCCATTCTTTTTATGTAATTACTCAACTGTTTGTAAGCAAGAAAAGACGCAAGAGTCATCATATATTGAGGGTGTAGGTCTGGCTGGAGTGAGTTTTCATGTATTTTTGCTCAATTTTTCGAAGCTTTCATTATTTGTTGCGTTTGAATAGAAAATATAGATTAAATCGATTTGTGAAAGTTCTTCAGCTAATTCCAGAAGTGTATTAAAATATAAATTACTGAAGAACTATTATTAGATATGGATCAATTTTACATAAAACGTGATCAATTGTATAGTCACTTTCAACAAAGATTAAGCCAGATTTTTGATCTATCTAAACTGTTATCTAATTTTCTTCCATTTTTAAGAATATTTTATATAAATATTTTGTTTAAGAATATGAATATAATAAACTTGGTTGTTTTTTCCAGGTGAAAAATGTGATCAATGAAAAGCAAAAACATTGTTTTTTTTGTTAATCGAAAGAATCGAGCAAAGAACAACCAAAAAAACCTACCTTCACTTTCAAAAAGTAGAACAGGAAAAAAAATATAAATTGTCTTTTGTGTAATATAATTTACTTTTAAGTTTAGAACAAGTGAAGCAAAAGAATAATAAGAATAAATCATCATTTGGGTGAAACCAAATTTAGAGGAGTTGAATTTTCAATTCAACTCTGTTCGACTTTCAATAAAAAGTCATCGAATTTTCATTTCAATGTTCTTGCATTTGCGAATTCTCTAAATTTCACGAATAGGAATATCATTTTACTTTGTATTTTTCAGATGAATCAATGAATTTTTTTTGTTGTAAAAATGAACAATCTTACATAGTATTCTACGAAATCAGGTAGATCAACAAAATCAAATAAATGCTCTTTCAATCATACTCATTTTGAATCTAGTGTTTTCAAAAAAGTTTCATATTAATTTCGTCATAATTTCAAATGTAGGTTATTACATCTTCATTTTGAAATATTTGAAAGGTGAGTCTTTGAATTAATATGTCACGTTTCTTTCCCAATATCTCAGTAAACAAATACGCGAGCATTTGCTTTTTTTTTCGATTCTATACGTTCGTCTATAATACATCGTTAGGTTTTCACACTCAACGTGGATGCGCAATCGTGACGCATTGTTGGCAAAAAAAAACACATTTTACAATTGTACATTCTGTATACTACGACTGATGTCTACCAATAATAAATCTTATCTTCAAACATTACCCATTGAGCTTGTTCATCGAATTTTTGATGATCTCAATGCCGAGACAATTGTCCTTTCAATTCGTTGCGTGTGTAAACGGCTCTATTCCATTGCTAATGCCTACAATCGTTATGAACTAGATTTCCGTTATATGTCAAAATCTGATCTACCTCTCATAGCACGTATTATTGATTGTAAAAATGTTATTTCACTTACACTTTCGAATGAAGTAGAGACACACGATCAAATTCGATTATTTCTTTCCTACTTTCGTATTGACCTATTCACTCGACTACGTTCATTGACTCTTTTTAATGTAAAAGACAAAGATTTGGATGAATTTCAACAGCATATCATGAAATATCCTCTTACAACATTCTCAATATCACCTGATTACTCTGATATCGAGAAGATAATAGCATTGCTATCATCTATCATATCACATAATGATCTTCGTAAAATCGAATTCAAAGGAACTGATGAAATTCTCCATAAAATACAATGGCCTATTTCATGTGGATTGAAACACGTGACAATTTGGGATGAGTGCAATTGGAATAAAGTTTACTCTATTCTTGGTCACTTACCTCATCTACAAACACTGGTACTAAAAACACTAGACATTGACGACACGATACTTACACACTCTGATATCACACCGTTAAGTCATTTAACTTCGCTCTCGTTAAATCTCAGGTTTGATATAACAATGAGCAATATTGAATCCATCCTTTCACTTTTACCTATGCTAATACATCTTCGACTGATCAGCCGGAGATCTTTATCTGATCCTTTATTATTTGATGGTTTTCGATGGGAAAATTTCATTAAAATGAAAGTACCTTTATTGAACAAGTTTGAATTCTACTTTATTCGTTATGCACTCGATGACGAAGATTGTACTACTGTAGAATCACTAATTGCACCATTTCGAACACTATTCTGGCTCGAACTCAAACATTGGTTTATTAAATGTGACTACGAATACAACAATTATATGCGAGAATTTCATCTCTATTCAATACCAATATTCCAAGATAGCTTTGATTATCCTGGTCAAGGAAGTAGAATGATTCATTCCAAGTTGAACATCGATGATAATAATACAACAGTCATTGTTAATGCGCATCAATTATCCATAGACTTGAACCACATGATGTCTGAAAACATTCAACAAAAGGTAAGTGTTATTTTAGATTTTAAAATTCCGCTATTGCTTCTCAAAGAAAATTGATAGATTATTATTTGAGTCTAATAATAAGTTTTGTTACGTACTCTTCGTAGATCTGTATTGATTGAACGTTAAGAAAATATCTCGATTCAAATAAAAATTGATTACTACTGATTTTTTCGTATTCATTTATTTTATAAAATTGTAATTGTTATTAAAAGCATTCTTCATTGTTGCTAAAGTTTTTTGATAAAATTTCATTAAAATTATGAACTTGTCCGACTCCAATATACAAGATGTATTATAATTGACTTTAGGATAACAAATTTCGGTCTTTTCATTATATAGATTAAGTATTTTTCTGGTGATAGAAAATAATTCATTCATAGTAATTTATAACGAATGCTCAAAAACTGTCACTATCTACTTTCATACTGAAAATTTGTAATATGTAATCCAGCAGTATGAGACCAATGGACTGTAACAATCTTCAAAGGGTTCATGGTCTTGCATAAATTAATCTGATTGTGATCTTTATATGAGCAAAGTTTCATATCAAAAAAAAAAAAAAATTTGAAAAATAGGATATTATTGAATAGTTTGGTTTTACATAGAAGAATTCATCAATAATTTACAATATCTCAATCGAGAACACAACAAGATCGTGAACACTTCATATGAAAGTCTATTTACACTCATACTAATTAAGTAGTATTTTAGTAGAGTCTTAGGTTTAGTATTGCAGATCATGTATTCTTCAATGAATAGTTATAAGCTCTTGCATTTGCATATTGGTTTGAGGTAAATATTGTTGAAGCTCGTAATAGATGTTAGTAAAAAGTATTTTCCTAAGAAAATCTCAAAAATAATTTTGTTTCTCATTGTAAATAACTATGAAGATTTCTCGTATATAAAATATTCGATAAATAATACTTGAATATATTGTTTAAGACAAATCTTTCAAATTTTCACAGTCAATGTAGATGGTTTTTAAGCAAATCTGTTCCATTAAAAGCATCGTATTCTTTGAATAGATTTATTGATTTCATACAAAAAACGATCTGTACTTATTTGATAATTTTTTCTGCATAAAATTATTTTTTGTTTTCCAATTTCTTTAAAATATTGTACATTTTTGTTTTTAGACTAATCCGACAACGAATTATCTATTTCGAAATGTGACAGAACTTACACTGACGATTGATCGAAAATGGCCTATTGGTTCAATTGAATATCTTTCAACAATTGTTAATCTATCGAATCTTCGAACAATACAATTATATTTCGAATGTGAGTGTAAGTTCGCTGTGAATTTGAATATCGAAATGGATAATCTATTCAAACGAGCATGTAATCTTCGTTCAATTCAAATAAGCTGCAATGATTCTGAGAGAATAAAACTGATAGCTCTCAACGCTATCTGTTTGAAATTACCTCGTCATATCAAACGTCTTGATACGGATATTAATTATGTAAACGATGCAAAAATAATATTAGAGCAAGCCGAACATTTATCAAGTGTCACGTTTCGAAAACGTCGCGCATATGATTTCGTGAATGAGATCATTGAATGGCTCTCACGTATGGGAAGAGATTTTACACATGAACTAGGTATTGCCTCACGGCTCTACTATAGAGGCACCTATCCAGTACACTTCTGGCTTGGCAAGAGCATGAGTAAACAATCGAACATATCAGTTAGTCACAAACGTGTCAAGCGAACCCATCACTATCACAACTCATGATTTATTGACTTTATTCGTTTCAATAGGCATGATTTCAAATATTCATTGACATACCAGTTAACTCATTTCACAATTGACCTTCAAATAAAAATCAAGATACTTGTAATTACAGTAATTTTTCTTTAATAAAAATGTGTGCGTAGGTCTTCTCTCTTCATGAATATTTAAACTGCTTTGTTAATCTATATATCACGATTTCTAGTAAATAATTCGATTATTATTCGAAAGATAAAGGAATTAGTTCAGCAAATTTTGATAAAATTTTTAAATAGAGAGGTATAGCAGTTATATAAAGAATTTTTTCATAACAAAACATTCATGTGATTCAATGATGTTTTCTATAATTCAAAGATTTTAAATCAATAGAATTATCGAACAATTTAATTCACATATTTCAACTATTGATTATAAATAAGACCAGTTTATCGATTGATATGTATGATAAATAATATTATGTATTTGAAAATAAGATTGAGTAACACGTTAATATTAGACTGAGATATTCACGTCATTAGATTTAACATAGTTCAATCTGAAAGATTTTCTTAAAAGATCTTAACTAATTTTCAATTTTTTATATTTATTATAATGATGAATTAATTAAGGGTGTGGGTGTGAGGGTGTGGGTGTGGGTGTGAGGGTGTGGGTGTGGGTGTGGGTGTAGGTGTGGGTGTGGGTGGCTGGGTGTGGGGTGTGGGTGTGGGTGTGGGGTGTGGGTGTGGGTGTGGGGTGTGGGTGTGGGGTGTAGGTGTCTCCCTTTTTCTTTGCGACATCTGTTCCAACACCCTGACCCACACCCACACCCTACACCCATACCCTACACCCACACCCACACC